CTAACAAACCATACATCAATGGAAAGCTCATTTATTCAGCTTTCATATGATGTATAAATCTCAATTTCAAAAAATTGACCCTTATGACATATGTGACCCTCTCTGTTGAAAACCCAGCTGAAGTCATTTTTTTGTGATTTACTGTTTTCTACATAAAATCATCCTTCATAAGGTAAAGAACATTCTGTGAAAATGTAACCTTTATATCTTTAATATTGACTGAGTAAGGTCATGTCAAAAATTGAAATTATAGTGAAATTAATGGTTGAAATCAAATTTTGATGCTTGTTATCTCCTAATTAGATTTTGAGACTTTAGCCTGGATTTCACAGAGAGGGTCACAAATTCCCATTCCATTTTAATGGTTTAATTAAATTTTAATAAACAAAAAACATGATCTAAACAATTGAACTCAAAAAACTTTTTATTCATTAAACTTTTAACAATAATAGTGCGCTATGAAGTGTTTAATTTGTTGTCGGTTTTGGCAAATTTTTCTAAATTCTGTGTTTTATGATTTTATACAAATGTATTATCAAAAACAGTTTTAATCAAATACATGCATAAAACTGAAACATTTGTTTTAAAGTGTATTAAAATAAAATTTGAACAATTCCTTTCAGTCTTGCACAACAGAGGTTCACAGTTTAAAACATGAATGAAAAAATTAGCGATCTCCTTAAAAAATATTGTTTTAATAGTAAAAATAATATATTTCTGTCACAATTTCTTCAAGTTAAACCAAACCTTTTTGACCTTTGAGTGTGTGTGTGTGTGTGTGTGTATGACGATAATTTAAATGAAATGGTTCATGTCCTCATATAGTGAGACAGTAGAGGCTGAAATCACCACAAGCATATGAGCACTGCTCATTCACACAAAAACATGCACAACATGTAGACTGGTCTTTTTGCGGTTTAATATTCATAGAGAGTAGTCCATATCATAGTTTGATTGTTGTACAAGCTTTTGATTTATTCATACTAAATTTTGGAAAAATTCCATGATATTTATACAGCAAATTCCACTTTCATGACTATTCTACAATTCCATCTGCGTTTTCTGCATCACGGAAGTAAAATCCTGTGTCTGTGATATGACCCTTCAGGTAGACTATGAGAGTGAGGAGGGAGAGGAGGCCATCGATGAGGAACTGGAGGATGTGGCCGAGGGCGGACAGGAAGAGGCAGGTTCTCAGGAGAACTCTGAGGAAGAGTCTGGTGAAAGCCAACCAGCAGACCAGACCCAGAGTCCTGACATCTCTGAAGAGCTGGAGGGAGCTTCACAGGACTCCATGAGGATCAGCACTGTGCTTCAGTTAAGCTCCGCCATTGAGGACTACAAATATGACACCAAAAATGGGCTATGGTGTGAGGTGTGTACAAATCAGTTGATCTTAAAGGGGTCATATGATGCTTTTTTACAGATCATTATTTTGTGTATTTGGTGTAACAGAATATGTTGACATGCTTTAATGTTCAAAAAACACATTATTTTTCAAATACTGTACATTATTGTAGGTCCTCTATGCCCCGCCTCTCCCAAACGCTTCGTTTTCTACAAAGTCCCTCCTTCAGACAAGTGCAGTCTGCTCTGATTGGCCAGCTGAACCAGTGCATTGTGATTGGCCGAACACAACAAGCACGCGTCGGAAATGTAACGCCCCTTACCATAATCACGAGCTTCATCTTTCAAAATAAATGTAAAGACAGAGCCCGAAAGGGAAACAGAGTCGCGTGACAGACACAGTGATGAAGCTCTTATGTATTTGCAGTACACAAGCCGCGATTACGAAAGCTGACTCCACTGTGATGTGATCCTGTCTCTCTCTCTCTC